AGTCATTTCGACCCATGTGGTTTAAGAAACATTACCCACTGTGAAAACTGTCAGGTTTAGGGTTATTTCTCAGACTTACCCAGGATATCATTCCCAGGTATATGAAAGAGTTAGTCCTTGTTGGTATATAATAAAATCTGGAGTAGTTTAGTTCACTGACTAACCTTGTCTGTCCAAACATTTGGTGGGGTTTGCTGGTGATAGATGGGTTACAATTCCTTGGATGATCTCTTTGGAATGTTGCAATTTTCTGCAAAAAAAATGGAAGGTGCTGGTTATTGCATATGAATTAAGGGAATTGTCAGCCCCATGAGGGATGAAATGCATATGTGCATATATCTACATCATATTGATGTCCTCTAGAAGATCTGCTTTCCCCCTTACTTCACCTCCCAGCATTCTTCGGGAGTGACATCACTATTGATGTGCTGGCTGTGTTGTGTGTGAAGTACAAAACCTGAGTGTTTTGTTATGCTTTGTCATTAAATTTCATTAGGGTGACATACAAGAAAATAATTCTCATGAGTTTAGTTCCGGGTTTTTTCCCTGCATATTTTATGGATTTACCATCCATTTTTAATAACTGCAGTACTTTGCCTAGAGGAGATGCTGCATGTCCCTGTTGTGTTGCTTTTATTTAAAGGGGGTCAGCATGTGAGAAATGACTGAATGTTTTCTCGGACATCTGAATGTTTCCTTTGGACTTTTCATAAAAAGGAAAGCTGAAATAAATCTGGAAATGTTTCAAAGGGATGTGGGACTGTGCTCTCACTTTTTCTATCACTAGATGGCACGCAGTGTGTAGGAATGTACTTCTGCCTTGGCTGAAGCTTTGAGATATTGAGCCCTGCCAAGCAGCTGGTTAATTTACAGAGGCGCAGAAGTAACAGTAATGACAGGCAGTTCACTTGGAGAAAACCTGGGTGAAAGGGACAAAAGCTGAGCAGACAATTAACTCTGAGGAGACGTCTGTGGCACGTGCTGAATGGGCAGATAGCAGGGAATGGGTGCAGATGACAGTCATCAGACTGACAGCTCTTGAGCGTATGACACAGGCAGAAGTGAGTGTTTGGTGTTAAAACAGGGAAGATTTGCTTTTTTTTTCTTAATATTATTTATTTTTACTGTAGATGCAACAGATACATAATAGCTATCAAAGAACAGCCAAAATCGGTTTCTGTTCAATATTCCAAATTGTTGTTGTCAAATGTGTTCTCTGAATCACAGCAAAGAGGCATCAGTGACAGTTCAAGCACATATTAAGAACTGCACTTATAAGCAGAATCAAAACTAGCAGTTGGAGTTTCAACTGGCAGCAGCCAAGCTCCCCCCTGGGCCTCCACTGGCCAGCACAAACCTGCTGTGTCATATTTTAAGGGGGAGTTGCTGTTCAAATCTTACTTGGGGAAAAAAAAAAAAATAAAATCCTATCACCCTTGTGGGCCCTTAAACTCAAGGCGACACTCTCACTGATTCTTTTGGGAGTGATGCTATGTCATAGCCTTGTCTTCTTACATGCATGGACTTTGTCGCTGCTGTGCATAGAAACATTGCTGGTGATAACTCCCCCAGGCTGCTGTCTCTGATAGTAGTGTTGATTTGTCCTTTGTGCTTCTGTATCACTCAGTTTACTGGGGAAGTAAGGAAGAGAAGGGGGGGGAGGGGGAACAGTAGAGGGAAAAATAATCTCCAACCTCAAACAAACTCTCCCCATGCTCAGCCCATGCTTGTTCCCAACAAGTGTAATGTCTTGCTTAGTCTTCTGTTTACTACTAAACGTGCTATGTAAACTATTAGGATGAGATCTTCTTTAGGGAGCCAGGGTATAACACTCATGATGAAAGTAATGGGAACTTGAATGAGCTAGGACCTCATTGACTATGTCATGTGTGTAAAGGCTATCAAAGAGTAATCTCTAGCTTCTTTAATGTTATCCACAGTACTCTTCCGACCTGTACTTGAAATATTATGCCTTCACTGGTACCACTTACTGCATTTTGGATTAAAACCCATCCAAGACCAAGAGACAACTGTACTTGGTGTCCCCTTAATTGGGATGCATCTGCTGGGGTTGGACAGATGTGGAGATCTTGGCTAATTGCCTCAAAATGAGCAAGTCGGGTAATGAAAGAAGTATTGATCTGTGTACCAGTGAATGTTGCTCCTTTGCATTGAGGAGATCGATTTGTGATAATCAAGTGTCTTTGGCTTAATGGCGATAAAGGAGTTGGTGCGTTGTTCCAAGGAATGTGACAAATCTGAGTTTTGTCAAATGTCTGTAATTCCTCTAATATGATGTGAAGGCAAAGATAAATCTTTGATGGAGGCCCTATTTTATCAATATTTTATACCTTCCCTCTACTGGATACATTTTTGGCAATTTAATGACAATCCTAAACTCAAATATCCTGGGAAGATCAACTGACTACAGAAGACTCTTAAATTTTGACTGTTTCTGTGCATACTTGTCATGAAAACAGCATGATATACTCTATTTCTGGTGCCACTAAGAGCTTCAAAAATGCACTGCATATTGTCTCCATTGTAGGCAGCTGGATCAGCAAAATCTTTGAAAAACATGGTTGCAGTATCAGTGGGACTTCTAACAGGCTTCAGTAGTTTTATCACCCCTTGAAGAAAACCCTAGCACTGCAGTGAACAAAAGAACAAACAAAGCCCCAGATTAACTTAAATGCAACAAAATCCAGTTTCTGATAGAAAGAAGTAAAATCAAGCCTATTTGCATAAACATGAAGCATGACTTCTTTTAAGGTAGCTAGTTAGTCAAAATTCCCTAGAAAATAGAGGAATACGGCCTTTGTAGAAGTACGAGGTGACAAAAAATGAGGGAACTCTTAAGAATGCTGAATGAATGCCTTGAAATTATACTGCAGCACTTGCAATGTTCTGAACATCTGCAGGAGGAATCTCAGATCTAACTCTCCTTTCTGTCCCAGCAGTCAGGTTCCTATTAATAAGTTTTGGCTTGGGGTGTTTTAAAGTGAAAATATTGAAATAATGCACATGTTCAAATGTGTTAACTGTGAATTTATGATTGGGTTTTTAATAGCATCACATAATCAGGCAAAATAACAAGGTAGTACATTGCATGCACGGGGACTGTCACATGAGGTCTGTTTATCCTAGAGAGTATTAGGGCTTTTGTTTCTTTTCCTGATTCACCTCATATTTTCTTGTTTTGATCATTTTAGAAGCAATTTCAAAGCAGTTTTTGTGGTGAATTACATTAAAAAAGGGAGAAAAAAAGAAAGTGTTGAAATAGAGATTGGTCTCCAATTTTGGTTTTGGTTCTTCCATCATTGAGCATCTACATGTACATGCACTCCTGTACTGAAATACTGTCACTCTCTTCTACTGGGTCTGTACACAAGGAGATGTGTCCTTGGCAATAAAATCTTACCTTTTTAATTAATTTTAAACAACAGTCAAGTTCTGTTCTTATCCAGTAAGTATGTTTCTATATTAAAATATTTTAAAAAAGCATATATGTTGGCACAGCAACTCCTTCTTCTTCCTGCTGCTACTCCCATACCAGGTCTTCTGACCTGCAGCAGCCAGGAGAGTTTTGCTTAAATAGAAAGAGGGACTTCATTATGTTCCTGGCAATTCAAAAGGCCTGCTCGCATGGGTGTACTGGAGAACTTCAACTGCAATCAATCATTTTATTACTTTAATCTTGCACAGTTGATTTTTAAATGTTAACATCTAATATGGTTATCAAGCTATTGCTTCCTCTGGTTATGAAACCTCTCAAGTGAGGTCAGGCATGTTCATTTAATCACCAATTTTATAACTGGTTATTGATGTGACAGTGAATCTGGCTGCTGTGCTAACCAGTTATTTTTGTTTGGCATTCAGCTCATAACATGCACTCGGATCAGTACTGTACTGTTTTACTTTCAGGTCCATAATCCTGAGGGAGTTAGGGGTGGGGGTGAGAAGAAGGAAATAATGAAAAAGAATATTAATTAAAATTTTAATTTGTTCAGCAGAGCTTTGGGAAACACAGAAACTTTCACTCCCAATATATTGAGCAGAAGCAGTGCATGTCAGTATAAATATGGCTGCTGCAGTGATGCATGCTGTTATTACTCATTACACTAGAACATAGAATAATGACAGTTTAATTAAACGTCTTTTATATTCCATGCCTTTCTACAGAAGGTGTGCATTCTGAAAGAAAAGGAGCCTCTCTATGCATCTATCATGACAAAGTCCATACCTTGGATTTCCATCTGTGAAATTTCTTAATATATATATATATATATATGATATTCTTTCATATGTATCTGTTCTAGACTGTGGTGAAATGTGTGGAAAAAGCAATGCATGTTGATTTTGGCAAGGAACTGGATACTTTATTCTAACTGTAAGAGTACAACTTAATGTGTAGTGCAATACCTATCTGCATAACTATACAACAGTAATGAAGTTTTAATGGGACTAGATTCTGTACAGAGCAGTTCTGGTGCAAAAAATCTGGGAGATAGTAATTTTCAGGTACTAGACCATAAGCATGCATATTATGAGGTCAGGAAGCTCATCCCTTGAGCACTTATCATAGATTGTCATTAGAGCCTGAATAGTTATCCATATAAAGTAAGATCACATTTCAGTAATTTATACCAAGTTTTGGTATAAATAAGTCTAAATGGGATGTAAGGTAGTAGACTGGGCAGTGGTTTTGCTTTAGGTCTGTAATACAGACAAACATTTTTTGTGCAAATGATGTATATATTAAAAAGGAAGAGTAAAGGGAAAAATAGGTGGCTATTTTAAGTTGAGGAGTAATGGAGAGGAAAACCAGCACAAAGATTTCATGTTTGTATGAAACTCAGAAATTACCTGAGCAGATGTGTTGCCCAGGTTGTTTGAAATATGAAGCTAAACAGCATGGGTGGTGATGGCATTGATATTTACAACAATCCTGTCTGCAGAAGAAATGAGTTAATACTGTGTACTCGTCACTTTCTAGCCTAAGGGCAGGCCTTCATCCAACAGCTGTTGAAGTAAATGGCCTGGTATAGGAGGTGAGTAGGGAAGGAGGCAGCAACGAGGTAGTTTTTACTGGAATGAGCCACGGGGTCTGGGCTTGGAAAAGTAGTTTGAAGCTGAGTCTCATACCTCTATCTGATTTGAATATCCATCTGCTGAAAAATGAAGTCATCTGCAAGGTACGTAATAAAAGAATGCAGTTGAAAGAGCCCTGCTGGAAGAGGTAGGAAGTCTCCGTAGTCCTAACAAAACCTGTTGCTGTGTGTGTATCTTCCAAAATTTTATTCTACCATCTCCTCAATAGCCTTTTTAGTAGGAACAATAAGTTCTTGCAGTAATGCAATGCTGGACCTGTGTGCAACAACGGGATGTAGTATATTTATACCAAGGTAGTTTATAGTGAAGTTTGTTTGAGTGAGTATGCTATAGATTGCAATTAATGACATTATTTCTCAACAACAAAACACTATACTATTCATTGCTCTAAACTTAAACATTCACCAAAGAATCAAATGAGGTGATGCAGTGTAATTTCTCTTTATTTGAAGCTGAATCATCTGTTATGTAATTCCTATGAGCAGCTCTTTTATTGAGAAGTATTGCTGTGATCAATGCCACTTTTATATTAGAATCTTTTAGACAAGCATACAGTGCAAAGCTGGAAAGAAAGATGTATTATTTCTTTCAGTCACTCATCCCTGTAAACCCTAATGACAAACAGCTGAAATACCTGAGGGTGAGGCAGAAGGGTTTATTACTCCAAATTCTGGTGCATAAAGCCTAGGAGATCAGACTGGTTTCTGAATGCTGAAAACAAACTGACATACTTTAGGAAAAAGGAGAAGGGTGGAATTTAACTTGAGAGTTTTCACAGTGGAAAAACAGGGTAAAAAACATCTTACAGAAATAGAGATGAGATTTATCAGGGATTACTTCATTTAAAAGCCTAGATAAATTGAAACCTTCCTGAAGAAATATGCTAGGCCCTGTTAAGTTTTATTTAGTAACTTGCTGTAACCCAGCTCTGAAACAGCAGCTGATACATAGGGACCTCAAGGCAATGATATTTTTTACCCCTGTTTTATAGATGAGGGAATTAAGGTAAGAAAAGAAGATAAGAGGCAGTGTCAGAAATGGAGCCATGTGGGGGCTTGGGGGTAGGTTTCCCAGTCTTATATAATTAGGATAAGTCACTAAATCTTGTTACTGATAATATGGTTCATCCTGGAATAATTGTTTTCAGTGTAGAAGTACAGAGAGGTGGTTGCTATTACATAGACAACTTCCCAGTCCCTAACCACGTGCGCTGGCTTGTGGGGAGAACAAGTGGTTTGGCAGCTCAGGCAAGTTGAGGTTCAGCCTTCTGCTGTTTCATCACCAGGGCTTTAGAATGAATCCCAAACATTCATTCCTTGGGATGAGGCTGAAGCATATGCTGGTGGAAGCTTTGAATAGCATGTTCACAGGGCATGTGAGACTGTTTAAGCAGTCCTGTGCTTACAGCCTGTCTGAATAACAAATCCTTACATTTAAAACTACACAATTTTACAGTTCGATTGGATAATTTTGGATACCAGTGCTTATTTTCACTGCATGCAATCCAAATGCGTTCGTGTATGTACTGAGACAACAGTACATAACCCAAGGCAGATGCTACAGTGAAAAGCATCATATCTGTACCTGGTAATTCCTTAATCCAATTCCAGTACTGATTAAAGCAAAACATGCTGGGATTGTGGCCCATTAGGAGTCTGTGCTGACCTTCATTAGTGGTGGCCCGAATATATGTGCTGTTTAGAGTCAGGAAGGGGACATTCTCTCTAATGATACCTACCAGTGGGTGGGTTTGGTGTTTTTTTTTTTTTTTTTTTAGTCTCAGACATTAGATTCTCTCTCATGCACATATCTGTTTCCTCTGGATGTCAAAATCCTACAGGACTTTACAGATACTTCAGGTTCTTACTTTCTTCAACAAATATTGGCCCTTGAATGGCATAAGGTAGCCATGCCCAGCAGACTGCTGTGGGTTGCTGCCATGTTGGAAACAAGTGTCCTAGGAGATGTGTATCTCTTGATAGGGATGTGTATCTCTTGAGCTACAGGTTGACCCATCCCTACTTTCAGCTATATGGCTGAAAGATCAGGTTTTACTATTGTGGTCAAGCATGATTATTTGGGTTGAGTATAAATGGGATATTTTTACATGGGACAAATGTTCATCTTAGTTGTGAAACAGTTAGAAAATACCTGCTTCAGCCTAAACAGTCTAACAGCCAGAAAATTCTCTAAGAAATTGCATTTGTGAGTGTATTTGTTGAAAGGATCGGCAAACTGTGAAGAGACACTTAACAGAATAACTGTCTCCACAGCTATCATAATTCAAGTGAAAACATGGGCCGCTTTTTATGACAAGACTGACTATTCATATTTCTTGGGATAGTTGATCACTGCAGGGAATTTAACAAATTAACCCAAATTAATCTTTGAGAGATGCACATACACCTCCAGAAAAGTGGAAGCAAACAGATCCTTATCAGATGGGTTTGGGCCAGGCTTTTCTTACACAGTTTCACTTGTTGAGCTGGCATGGTCCTTCCTGACTTTTCTCCCCCACTAGCCTGATTCCTCACACAGTGCATCTGTATTGAGGTCTTTTGTGTTTGGGTTAACTGTGGTTGGATTAATTGTGAGATGGGTTAATCTTCCTCTTGGAGTTAATTGTGAAATCTCACAGTTAAGTATTTTTAAAGCCGTTTTAATTTTACCAAGACGCAGGTGTTGTACTTGGGGGAGGAATTTTAGAAACTGCCTTTGTTTTGTAATGCAGGTTGTGAATTAAATACTTTGGCCTTCCTGCACCAGTGGGCCTTCCTCTGATATGGTTAAAAACCTGAGAGATAAGCCTTGGGGCTTTCCTCGCTCTGGGGTATAAAATGTGGATAATTTTGTAAGCTAAAAAAGCCCCTACCTTTGAAATATGCTGTGTGAGGAAAAATGTACAAGGTTACTGCAGCCCTAGGGTGATAATAATGTATGCTCTACAAGCTACACAAGTTTGACATTGTGGAGTTTTTTATAAAAAAAGCTGCTGCAAAAACAGCACTGTACAGAGCTTATCAGTGGACTCTTCTTACCAAGATCTCTGCGATACTGTGAACTTCATGAATTAATGCATCAAAATTAATACATCATTAAAGAGTCTGAAGTGTTGTAGTTTTCAGTGGAGAACTTTATTTTCATCTGAGAAGGGACTGGAAGAACATTTTGAAGTGATGGGGTTTGCTCCTTCTGTTCAGATGTACCCGCAGTGACCCTGAAGGTGCAGTATTCTTTTGGTGGCTGGAGGGACCCCTACCTCTGCAGGGAGCGTTTGTTATGTGGGATGGGAAAACTATTCCATTCCAAGACGTTTTCCCCTGCTAGGAGGAAATGATGACAAGTAAACCAATTTCTTTATTCTGGAATGTCTGCCTGGTTTAGTGAAAACAAGTGAAGACTTGTAAAATAATTTTTGTTCTTCCATGAAAGCCACATTGTTCAGTCTAGTTCTTGGGCCTTGTATATATCTGCTGACCACTTCCAGGGGAAAAGAGATCTGTACATCCTTTTTTTTTATATTATTATATGAAATAAAAAGGGTAAGCTTTAGGTGCTTCCCTTATTCTCTTTTACCTTGCTGTTTCCTGCCTTGCAAGATTCTTCCTGCACAGTGGAACAAGGCTGTGTGAAAGAAGGATATGTTGCTGTGATCAACAGTAATCTTTAGTGTCACTCTACCATAATCCATCCTGCTATACAGTCCTTGAAAGAATGACTTTTCACATCTTTGGGGATACCTGGACTTTATTAGTGGAAAATGGCTTTCTCTGGAACTGCAGCTTAGTTACAAATTGACCTTCCCTGAACTGTAGTTTCTGACTGCTTGGTGTTATTTTTCTGACATTGATTGGATTAGTGATAAAACCTGAAAAAATATTAATGTATAGGGGAACTCTCTGTATTGCTAATAATTTTCTAGCCTTACTCTTAAACTTTGAGCTTCTGCATGTCCTAGTGTTAGAAGGTGTGTCCTCAAGACTGACTACTAAGCTTAGTCAATGTACTGTACTGACTTGAAGAAAGTAAGTTTGTGTCCTTGATCTGTATCAGTGGTGCCTGTGCCCTTTTCATATCCCAGGACAATACTGAAGTATGGTACAAGCTGTCTGATCCTGCCTTCCTTCCCCCTGCTTTCCAATGTGTTCAGCCTTTTGAGCCTTTGATAGCTGTGGTTGTGACGCAAATTCCTTCTTTGAGGTCTCTGGACAAATCAGTACCTTGCCAACAAGGACTATGGTACTATAAATACACACAAGTATCTACACTTTATATCCTTAGGACCCTGGGCTGGCTGGGATCACAAATAAGCCTTTAGAGAATAAACCTGTACATGCAGGTAGTTGTGGAGCCAGTTGGGGTTGACAAATTAAGTGCCAAATCTTTAATCATAATCTTTAATCACATGTCCAAATTCAGTTTAATTATTCATAGCTGCTGGGAACAATCCTGAAATTATGTATAATTGCAAGAAAACACTTAACTGCAGTCCATGGCTATACATTTGTGCTTAAATAACTTATTAAGTGCTTGTTCCTCAGAAATGTTCCATGTGCTTGGGGTCATGTGCATAATCAAATAGAGAGGCTGTTAGGAGAGAAACAAGAGAAAAACGTAAGGCATTGCTAAAGAGAGGGAGTCTCTTTTCCTAGTTCAGTGGTAGTTGGACTAAACTGAACTTGGCCAAAATCTTCAAAGAAAGATGTTAAATTCAGTTATTCTAGGTATTGAAAGCAGTCTTTGATGGGGCTAGCTGGTTTAGTTTTTGGGACTGTTAGTTTATATGTGTGGGGTGGTAATGTTTCTCTTGGTGGTGGTTTGGGGTCTTGTTTTATTGGGTATTTTTTGTATATTTGAATAAATGGTGTTTTGTTTGTAATGAACTCGTTTTGAGTAATTTGAAGCAGTCAGCTGCCATTCCTTGGAGCATTTCATACACAGACAATGGTAGATGGAAACTGCAGTCCAGAAATGTGATTTAAAGCTTGCAACACTGAGTCATTTCCCCCCAAGAATAACTAAAATGTATACAACTAAGCCCCCATTCTAGATGAATGATGAAGCAGTTGAAACATACCTCCCA